AACCAGAACTAAAACAGGAATAAACCAGGATTAAACCAGAACTAAACCAGGACTGAACCAGAACTGAACCAGGACTAAACCAGGACTAAAACAGGAGGACTAAACCAGGATTAAACCAGAACTAAACCAGGACTGGACCAGAACTGAACCAGGACTAAACTAGGACTAAAGAAGGACTAAAGCAGGACTAAACCAGGACTGAACCAGGATTAAAACAGGACTAAAAAAGGACTGAACCTGGACTGAACCAGGACTGAACCAGGACTAAAACAGGACTGAACCAGGTCTAAACCAGGACTAAAGCAGGACTAAACCAGAACTGAACCGGGACTAAATCAGGACTAAAAAAGGACTAAAAAAGGACTGAACCAGGACTAAACCAGGTCTAAACAAGGACTTAAACAGCTCCAACGCAACAATTCTTCATAAATATACCAAACCACGATCCAAAACTGTACACAACAACTTGACAAACCTGATGCGACGTGCTGCAGTTTCATTAGCGCTCTGAAGGGGGTGTGACTTAGCTCTGAGAGGTGAAAAACACGTCTCATTAGAGTATTTTTATTAATTGTTTATCAGCTTCTATTATATTTCATAAGATGTATTTTGCGTTTGCCAAATTATGACTTGTTTTTTCTCCATTCAGAATTGTAACCAAATATGCGATGAGCGAACAAAAGCTCTAACAGCTTTTGGTTCACAGCCACAAACTGTACATGTCCTCCAGACTGTACTGTTTTATTAACACATTTTCATCTGTTTTAACTGAAGGAGTCTGTCTCTGTCTGTGCTTTTAATTAAACATAGAAAGTCATTAATTAGCAGATCCTCTTCTCCATGTGATTTTGATTTAAGTTGGATTTAGGTGTAATTTACTTTTGTACATTTTACAGCTAGACAACTTCATATATACATTTTTACTTTACTATATTTCTGTAGATATATATAGGATAATAATAATATATAGGATAATATATAGGATAATATTTTGTGGTGTAGTGGGGATTTTTTTAAGTGGGGGTACGAGATTCGTGACGTCATTGATGTGATGAACTCGCCCCAAACAAACATAAAGGCACCGGCCCAGTAAAAATCTGTAATATTTGATGTTTTTTTTACTCAAAATGATGCTGGAACCAGGACTGAACCAGAACTGAACCAGATCTAAACCAGGACTGAACCAGGACTAAAACAGGACTAAAACAGAACTAAACCAGGACTAAACCAGGTCTAAATCAGGATCGAACCAGGACTAAACCAGAAGTGAACCAGGACTAAAACAGGACTAAACCAAGACTAAAACAGGACTAAACCAGGACTAAAACAAAACTAACCCCGGAGTAAACCAGGACTGAACCAGGTCTAAACCAGGGCTAAACCCCAAACTGAACCTGGACTGAACCAGGACTAAGCCAGGACTAATCTTGGACTTGAGAGACGAGAGGGAAAACCCCGAGCAACAGCTGCTCTTAGCCCCGTGGGGCTTGGAGCTCTGCACTGGTCCTTTCACCTGTGGTCACCCAACGGTCTATGTGGGCTCACCTCCAGGCCCGTCCTGACATTCAGTCCTGGTTCAGTCCTGGTTTAGTCCTGGTTTAGTCCTGTTTCAGTCCTAGGTTCAGTCCTTGGTTCAGTCCTGGTTCAGTCCTGGTTTCAGTCCTGGTTCAGTTCTGGTTTAAACCTGGTTCAGTCCTGGTTGAGTTCTGGTTTAGTCCTGTTTCAGTCCTAGGTTCAGTCCTTGGTTCAGTCCTGGTTCAGTCCTGGTTCAGTTCTGGTTTAGTCCTGGTTTAGTCCTGTTTCAGTCCTAGGTTCAGTCCTTGGTTCAGTCCTGGTTTAGTCCTGGTTCAGTCCTGGTTTAGTCCTGGTTCAGTCCTGGTTTAGTCCTAGTTCAGTCCTCCTGGTTTAGTCCTGGTTCAGTCCTGGTTTAGTCCTGGTTCAGTCCTCCTGGTTTAGTCCTGGTTCAGTCCTGGTTTAGTCCTGGTTCAGTCCTGGTTTAGTCCTGGTTTAGTTCATATACGGCGTAAAAGTTCAACATCTTCACTCGCTGATTGTTATTTGACGATCAGCAACAGTTATTTTGTTCAGAGTATCTTAAAGTGCTGTAAAAGTCGTGTAATGTTTTACATTTTAAACACAGTAATATTGTAAATAATGTAACAAATTACTTTGAAATGACAGTAACAAGTCATAAATAACACATCACAGTTTTGGAGTAACTTGCCCAACAGTGCACCTTTATAGTCCTGGTTTGGTCTCTGTGTGGTCTCTGGCTTATCCTTAGAGTTTATGTTCTTGTCATATTGTTGAACATTGGCATGAGCAATAACGTCACCATGGAGACAAGAAGAAACGTTACATAGTGCATCTTTAAACCTGTTTTAGTGTCTGTGCGGTCTCGGGGTTTATCCATGCTGTAGTTTATGTATGTCATTAGTAAAGCTCTGGTTGGACCCCCCCCCCTCCTGGGCTCTGCTTTCATCCTCGGGTCCGTGTAGTGTCCTCCCACACCTCTGTGATCCAGGACCCTCATACTTTGAAGTAACATCTCCGCTTGTTTCCCACTGCTTCAGACATAAGCTCCTGATTTAATGTGGTCTTTACAGAGTGCCTTTAATCCCTTTGAAGAACTGCTGATAATTGTACGTGGGTGGTAGTGGTAGGAGCGTTTGCAGTAGTGGTAATAGTAGGGGTAGTAGTAACAGTAGCAGTAACAGCAATAGACGTCAACAACCAAATGTTCAACCTTTTTTTTTTTTTACCCACCAACCGCAAGAAATAGAATTGTAGTCGAGAAAAGTAGCTGTACTTTTGTCTTTAAACTTTTTGAAAAACATAATGCGTCTTACAATTTTAGGTTGTAATATTGAACATCTGTAATAAAAGTGCTACTGCCACTCTTTAGTTTCACCTTGATTATATTTATATTTAAATTATTAGTACGTATTAACATTTGTCCACGTCGAGAGGAGCCAGTTGAGGTGGTTCGGGCATCTGTTCCGGATGCTCCTGGGCGCCTCCCTCGGGAGGTGTTCTGGGCATGTCCCACCGGGAGGAGGCCCCGGGGAAGACCCAGGACACGCTGGAGGGACTGTGTTTCTCGGCTGGCCTGGGAACGCCTCGGGGTCCCCCCGGAGGAGCTGGAGGACGTGTCTGGGGTGAGGGAAGTCTGGGAGTCCCTGCTTAGGCTGCTGCCCCCGCGACCCGGCCCCGGATAAGCGGACAAAAATGGATGGATGGGTATTAACATTTGTTGCCAAATTTTCGTCATCTGACAAACTCGAGATCAAACAGTGACAGTCGATGCACACGCAAAGTTCTGTAGTGCACTAAAGGACAGCAAAATGGCGAGTGTTAAAGTATAAAAAGTTGACAGAGAGCGCAGAGTTTTCAAAGAACAGTGGACGACCGATTATTTTTTTGTTCAGTGTAAGGAGCGTGCAGTTTGTCTGATATGTAAAGAAAAGTGCGGCGGTTTTCAAAGTATAGAGGAACCTGACCCCACCCCCCTTCACAGTCAGGAGCCAAAATTTGGCCCCAGAGAAAAAATTTGATCTATCTGAAGAACAAATGCAGATGATGATTTCTTCTGGAAGGACTCTGTGTATTTCCGACGGAAGGTCTTCTGCCACATATGGTGTAAAAAGCCTGTAGCATCTTATTTGGGGAAAAACAAACAGTTAATTTCACACAATCCAGTAGTCCCTTGTGCTAATTCACTCAAAGTATTTCTTCTGGAAGGTCTTCTACCACATTTGTTGCCACACATGGTGAAAAAAGCTAGCCAGGCTCAATTTTATTTCTCTCCAGTGACTAGGTCAGGAATCGGAAATACACTAGATGGTTTGCAAGAACCCTGGAAGTTGTAGATCACGCACCGGCCAATCAGTGAAGATCTGTGAAGCCATGACGTCAAACTCAAGCGCCTGTCTGGGTCCATTTTGTGGTACAGCAGAACAGTAAACAAAGCGGTCGAGATGGATGTAGATGAAGACATTCTGTGTTGGCAACGATTCCCGAGATCGAGGATTTAAAGCCGGAACAAAGAGAATGTTTGGTGAATTTTATCAAGGTTAAAGATGTTATTGCCTTTCTTCCTACGGGATTTGGTGCATTACATACGTCACTACCAAACAGCAGCGATTGGTTAAATAAAAAAAAACCCACCTGCTGTTGAGCGAACAAATCCTCATGCTATGAGGTCAGACGGTTTCCACAAAGTGAAACCGGCTGATGAATCAGGCTAGCAAAAAGCCTGTAGCATCTGAAATGTCCATAGCAAGCTCCTTAGCTCCATGGATACGGGAAAAACAAACGGTTAATTTCACCAAATCCAACGGTCCCTTAGTTTTGTCCTTTGAACTGCACATGCTGCACTTTTTAGTTGGTTAAAATCCCACGATATGAACTGAGCTCAAAAAACAAAAAGTGTAGAGTGTAGTAGCAGTAGCAGTAGTAGTAGTCAATATTCCCATGCAATTACTTCATATATTTCACATATTTTAGCCTTTCTTTGAACACTTATACCCCACAGCTTTGCATATCATAAATCCAGGTCATTTGGCTCTGGTTTGACTTTGAACTCCGGGGCAATTATTTCCATAGTGTGATTTGGTGTTGTTTAGTGGACCTGATGGACAGTATTTGAACACGTGTCTGTAACTCTGGGCTCACTGCTGTGGAAACTGCACTGATTAAAAGAGCTGTCTGCTGCTGTGACATGTCATTAGCACGTCACTGATGTCTTCAAAGCACAATTACACCGAGAGCAGTGAACACAGGTTCCTACACTTTTAATTAGGACGTATTAGAACAGTTTCAAACACACAGGACGCGGTATAGACCAAAGAAAATCATTTTAAAAAATGAATTACACATTTTAAAGCTGCACTGTGTAGCTTTTCTGGTGGCTGTCTCCATATAGATGTTATTGGTTTTTTTTAGATTGTCCCACAGTATAGCAGTAACCTATTAAATTTGCATCTTTCCTCTGTTCACAGGAGACAAAGCCATCAATTTCCCAGTTCTGGACATCGACCAAAACGACATCGTGGACACAAACGGAGCTGGAGATGCTTTCGTTGGAGGTAATTTACAACAAAATGTTTAAATTAAATCTGTGTTTTATACTGCTGATAATACCACCACGAGCAGCAGCAGCAGTACTGTGTTGGTTTAAGTTTACACATAATTTTATTAATTAAAGGGACAGTCCGGAATTTTGGACTTATTAGAGGTCTCTGGTGCTAGACTAGTGCATGTCAATGGCCATAGTTATCCTGCCACTAAAAACAGTCTTACCCACTCTACAAAACACCTGAAGCAAATCTATTATTACACCAGACTGTCCATGTAAATGTCTGTGTTGATAGAATAATTGTAGAAGTAAAACCAACCTTGCATTTGAAGGATTTATGTCTGAGCTGCAGCAGTGAGTTGTACTTCCTGATAGAAAGCTTGGCAGTGGCGGACTGATATATGAGAAAATAGTCCCTCAACATGGTTAGTTTTAGTTCAGATATTATTCTATCAACACAGACATTTACATCGACAGTCTGGTGTAATAATAGATTTGCTTCAGGTGTTTTGTGGAGTGGGTAAGACTATTTTAGTGGCAGGATAACTATGACCACTGACATGCACTAGTCTAGCACCAGAGACCTCTGCAAATACAAGGACTGGATGGAATATTTAAAAAAGTGTCTCCACACGTCTCTAACACTCTGGCTCACTAGGAAATGAGGCCCTATGTTCAAAGTTCCGGACTGTCCCTTTAAGAATGATTCCGGCTTACTAACTACTAGAAGGTCCCATATTACACAGAATGAAGTCTTGAGAGCTTTAACCCATGTTATAATGTTGTTGCCTCATCAAAAATAGACCTAAAGTTGTGTTTTGTTTCATTCGTAGATGTTTGAGCAATCGTGTATTAATCATTTTTCTAAATCTCCAAAGCTCAGAATGCTCTGTTCCACCATGTGATGTCATGAAGCTGTAGTTTTCAAGTTGACAGCTCTTTTTATTTTTAGTTTAATACAAATTGACAATTCCAGGGCTAAAATTATACAAATGATTCTAGTGAAGGTTTATGGAGTTCACAGAGAATAGTGTCATAGGGATCTTTTAACCCTCATAAGAGTCAATTTTGTGTAATATAGGAAATTTAAACATCATTTCTTTCTGTTCTTTGTTGTTTCTGCAGGATTCCTGTCTGCACAGGTTCAGGAGCAGTCTCTGGAGGAATGCATTCGCGCTGGGCACTACGCAGCCAACGTCATCATCAGAAGAGTCGGCTGCACCTTCCCCGAAAAACCCAACTATCAATGATCCCCTTACACCCCAAAAAACTCTCACGGTCAAATGTTCTTTATTTTGTATTTTCAGTGAACTAATGCTAAAGCCAGGAAACTCCAAGTGTTTTAACAGATCGAGTAAATGCGTTAAAGGTGCACTGAGTAACTTTTTGGTTGGGGAGTCCATCACCTGCTTGTTTCTATGGAGATGTCACTGCTCTGGAATGTTCCACAGTATGACATTAAACAACAGTTCAGTTACAGGTGCTCAAAAATACAGAGTAAACCTGGCATTATTACTGCCTCTTCACAGATCTGACCTGTAACTTGGGCTGGTTTGGTCTCCATGACGATACAAAGGTTTAATGCCACACTGTGAAACATTCCAAAACAAAACAATAACATCTCCATGAAACATTTGATGGCCGCTCCACCAAAAAAGTTACACAATGTACCTTTAACAGCCAGAAATTGGGCTAAAATGATCTAACACTGTTATTTATAAGCAAATAATATAAGCACTGAATAAGCCATACACACATCCAAACTTTTAATAGTTTACAGTCCGCAGCAAACGCACAATTTTACATTTCACCATTTTGTTTTGAGTGATTCGGACGATATTTGAACAATAGCTAGGTCTGTCACAAAAATACTTTTTGAAGTTTAATATATTGCTGAAGAAACTATACACGATAAACGATAATATTGAAACTAATTTATACCACTGATTAGGGATGTAACAAGAACCGAAATATCGTGATATCGTATCATCAAAATTCTCACAACTAGACGTCTCTATTTACCCGGGACAGTCCAAGTTTTGAGACTTGTGTCCCCTGTCCCAGCAAATTTATCCAAAACTAGTGATTAGTCCCAGTTTTATGTCCCAGATGTCCCTATTTTTGACCAATCTGATCCCTGCCAACTGTAAAAAGATGCATAAATTGTCATTTAGTTCATTAAAATGCAGAAAAGCTGATTAAAAATGATTAAAACACAAAGAAAATGTGACTATACTGACTCATGTTTGTCATGATGGGGCCAAGTGTAGAACAATTTTTCTTAATTACGCACTCATTTCACAATTTTATTATTACCAACCACCACAAGCCGAAAGTGTCCCAGTTTTTGGTTTTGAAAATCTGGTCACCCTACTCACAGTAATATCGTGAACCATGACAATATATCAAATTACAAGACTCTTTGCTTAAATTAAGAGTTATGGTGCAGAAATAGCTAAAAAAAACAAACAAAAAACAGAAGGAACTACATAGACCATGATCCTTTGCTCTGTTTCAGTGCAGACTACATGAACAAATCACAGTTCTAAGCACTTTGAAATCGTAGTTCTTTGGATTAAGTCTTGTCAAGGCATTTTAAGAGGAAAAAGTCCCATATTAACAGTTTTTTTAGCCTCCACAAAACATTGTACCGTGAAAATATCGTATTGAAAGATTTGGATATCATTACATCTTTACCGCTGACACAATAACCCAAGAGATTTAAACCACAAAAACTATTCTAAATGTACAATATTGTTAAATAAATACAATAAAAGTAAAATAAAACAGTTTAGACAGTTTAATTCAACCTTCTATGGCTCAAATCATATCATATATCCAAAAAAATTACTCAAAAATAGTATCCAAGATAAATATTGACCCCTAAAATATACTTCCAACTTTCATATATTATTATTATTTCGATTAGTCTATGGTAATTATTGTGACAGGCCTAACTATAAAGAAATATAAGGGATGTCTATACAATTGTGCTATCTCCTTTGCTAAATGCTAAGATGACTCTGTAAGTGCTTTACCAATATACAAAAACAGGTTAGCACAACAGGCTAGGTGCTGTAGCGAATTATAAACAAAGAAAGCCTTTATCTCTGCCTCAGTAATAACATGATTAATCAATGTAATATATATATTAAAGAAAAATAAATATTAAAGAAACATATTTATACACTGTACCTCTAGCAATTAGATTATAGAGCGCTAGTTAGCTTGTTAGCCTGTTAGCTAGTTAGTAAAAAGTGTTTAGGGCAATTGGTGTCACATATATTTCCAAATTATAGTTATTATATGATATTAAAGCCAATTTATCTAAGCCCTGCTATTAGTGAATAAGTAATTTTATTTTTTTTTCCCCTTTGTGGCCTTTTTAATCACTAAAGATAATTTCCAGTATTTTGCTAAATGCTAACCAGTGCTAGGAAATAACTGAACACACGTACTATATATACTCATTTTAAAGGTGCATTGTGTAACTTTTCTGGTGGAGGGTCTGTCATTTGATTTATTTCCATGGAGATTTTAACACTTAAAAATGTTCCATAGTAGTGTTAAACTGATTTATTTTGCATTTATTCAATTACCGGTGTGTTTATTGCTTAAAAAACACAAGCAGGGTCGCCTCTCCACAGATCTGACATGTAACTTGGCTTGGTGGTATCATTTTTGGTGGGGTGTCCATGGAGATTGTTACATTTAAAGCAACACTGTGGAGCGTTCTGGACAAAGCAGAGTAAATAACGGACCCTCCACCAGAAAAGTTACACACCTTTGCACCTTTAAGTAACTATTCAGGTCCAGTTACTCTTTCATTTCTTGTTATTCAGAATATAGTCACTTTACTAAAATCTAAGAAACATATTGCAGTATTTGATGTCAAAATATCAGCTCCAAACTGCACATAGCTAGTGAGAAAAATCTGAAAAACTTGTCTCGTTTTGAGTCCATGTGTGATTTTTCCTGCTCTAATTAGTGAAAAGAAATGTATAACAAACAGTGAAACAAATATAAAGCTGTTTTAATGCTATGTTGCGTCTTTACTTTATAATTTAAAACACAAACTTGATGTAAAAGTATTTCAAATATTCAGAGTACATTACTCTGACTGGACCATGTATCAGAATGCAATACAAAATACATTTTACTGTAGGTATTCAGTAACATAATTAATGTTCAGTTATTCTTCCCGTCACTGCTTATAACAATTACTCCTGTTTATGTATATGCCTGTAAACAGTGATCTACTTAAATTAATGTTTATACTTTTAAAACAATACTCAAAACAAGGTATGAAGGAAGAAATGTATAAATTAGAAACAACTGTAAAGCAGAGATGGACCACGGCCAAGGCACTCATGCAATTCAAGTCCATGAATTTTGACGTTTCAATAGATACATAGATCATTGGGTTTAAAGGTGCTCTATGTAACTTTTTAGGTGCAGGGTCAGTCATCTGCTTGCCTCCATGAAGATGTTATTGCTGAAAGAGAAAATGTCATTTTCAAGGCCTGGAAAAGTGATGAGAATAAGTTTATTCAGATGTTTCCATAAGTAATAAATTGCATTATCATACAGTAAATGATAAATTACATATGCAATAATCAACAGATACTTAAAGACAATTATTTTACATTGCTCATCACAACTATAATATCCAAAAAGAAAAAGAAAAAAAACGAACAATTAAATTAAAGTCATGAATGTTGTAAATTTGATGAAAGTTTTGGAAAAGTGATGGAATTTTTGTATCTATTTCACACAACTAGAGTGTTCTGTTAAGTTCTCATTAGACTATTATGATTATCTCTGAACGTCTGCGCCTTTTGTTTAAAAGAGACGACAATAAATGCACTGACAGGATTTTGAATGTTAAAAACTCTAATACCAAACCATAAGGTGAGTGGAAAGAGTTAACATTTCATATTTAGCCCTAAAAGTCTGATCAATTCTACGCATGTAAGTGCTGTAAAGTCATGGAAAATTCACTTTAGGTCATGAAAAAGTCATGGAAAGTGAATAAGAGTGGGAACCCTGTGCTTTGCCCCAGAATGTTCCACACTATAGCATTATTTTAAGTAATTTCCCATGTGGATCAATAAAGTTTGTCCAAGTCTAAGTTTAATTCATTTAGCTCCATGGAGACAAGTTACAGTTCAGATCTGTGGAAAGGTGACTCCTCGCAGTAAGAATGTATGTTTTTCAAGTGTTTTTGAGTAATAAAACCATATGTAACTGAACACATACAAAATAAATAATCATAATATCAAACTGTGGCAAAGCAATGACATCTCCATGGAGACAAGCATGTAGCGGACCCTCCATCAGAAAAGTTACACAGTGCACCTTTAAAATGCTATGTTAACAGCAAGGACCATATGATTTCCCCATTTTTTAGTAGTAGTTATATTTTATTTTCCATATTTTTTTAATTGGCCCATGAATAAACTATGCCAAATTTCTGTACTTTTTAAATTCCCTTTATATTTCACACCTCAGTGAAACTCTTACTCTGTACTGTACAGTATTCAAGTCTTAATCTTCTATCAACCTTCAATAATTTGTCAAAAATAAATACATTTCTGAAAATAAAAAGCTTTGAATGTCATCTATCAAATACTAACCTTGGATTATGTTGTTTTTTTTCCTCTTTTTGCCAAACTTCTTAAGCCTTAAAAGCCTGATTTCATTAGAAGCGATGTTTTTACTATCAAATTTCCTTTTACTTTCTTGGACAGAATTTTGTTATATCTTATTTAATTGGCTGGCGTTATATCATGTTATTAAGCTTTACATTTGGAGCCAAGAAAAAACCTCAAATGTCCAAACTTGTCTTTTTCGTCTAATCCGTCCCCTCATGTCCATCTGTGTCCAGCATCGCTCCAAACCCACAAATAAACACTCCACTTCTGTCCACTCTTTTATTGTTCGCACGTTTCGCCAATAAACATGTATTTCATTTTTGTTATTGAAAGTCTCTGGAAATTATATCCAAAAATCAACCTGGGCTATTAAAACGGCAAGATTTTTTCTCTCATTTTTTTGGCATTTGGTGTTTTATGAATAGATAATATCCTTAATTGTTCAGAACATGAAGCTGCCAAAATCATTAGCCATATCCACATGTAGCCAATTTAATTTAGTTGAGTAAAATATTAGTGAAAACCAAAAATCTTGGTTTCCTGGGATCCAGAATACACACTCCAGTACTTTATGAAAATGTGAAAGTAAACCTTCTAGAGTTCTGATGGGCGTGATTGACTCAGGGACACCCACGGTCCGTCTGAATCAAAACAAATACGGTTAATTCATTCAGTAATTTGATTTATAAACCGCTGTTCAAGACGCCCAAAGTGTTTTACAGAGCATTATTCATTCAATACAAACTGAGACCCATCTCGTTGTGAGTGAAGTGCTTTGCGTAAGGACTAGGGATGTAACAATAACCGAAATATCGTCAAAGTTCTCACAATAATATCGTGGACCATCACAATATATCGAATTACAAGTCTTTTTGCTTAAATGAAGAGTTATGGTGCAGCAATAGCTACCATGATCCTTTGCTTCATTTCAGTGTCGACTACATGAAGAAATAACAGTTCTAAGCACTTTTAAGCCTTAGTTCTTTGGAGTAAGTCTTGTCAAGGCATTTTAAGAGGAAAAATCCACAAAGTATCGCAACAAATATCGTACCGTGAGATGTAAATCATGAACATATCGTACAGAGAGATTTGGATATTGTTACATCTCCCCACCATATCGTGAGTTTTCCCATGACATTGCAATAAATATATCGTACTGTGAGGTTCATACCGTGACAATATCGTATCGTGAGACTTGGATATCGTTACACCCCTACTAAGGACACAACAACTATTTTTGCCACTGGTTTTTCCCACTGTCGCACCTGGAACTTACCATCCAAGTCCTAACCAGGCCACGACCCTCCTTAGCTTCTGAGATCTGATGAGATCAGCCTCTGACAAACTGGTTTGGCCATGATGTTGCCCATTTCACTATTGAAACCTCAACCAAAGTTAAACAAATGGAGATTTTAAGATGCTTAATACAAAAGTTGAATTCAAAAGTATTCTGGTACTATAGAGCTAAATTAAGTTAACATTTACCATGTTTTTGAGGCTGCTTAATATTCTGTACAGCTTAAAGGGATAGTTCGGAATTTTGGACATAGGACCTCATTTCCTAGTGAGCCAGAGTGTTGGAGACGTGTGGAGACACTTTTTTAAATATTCCATCCAGTCCTTGTATTTGTAGAGGTCACTGGTGCTAGACTAGTGCATGTCAATGGCCATAGTTATCCTGCCACTAAAAACAGTCTTACCCACTCCACAAAACACCTGAAACAAAACTATTATTACACGAGAATGTCGATGTGAATGTGTGTGTTGATAGAATAATTTTGGAAGTAAAACTAACCTTGCATTTGAAGAATTTATGTCTGAGCAGCAGCAGTGAATTGTACTTCCTGGTAGAAAGCTTGGCAGTGGCGGACTGATATATGAGAAAATAGTCCCTCAACAATTCATGTGATGCAAGGTTAGTTTTATTTCAAACATTATTCTATCAACACAGACATTTACATTGACAGTCTGGTGTAATAATTGTTTTGCTTCAGGTGTTTTGTGGAGTGGGTAAGACTGTTTTTAGTGTCAGGATAACTATGGCCATTGACATGCACTAGTCTAGCACCAGTGATCTCTGCAAATACAAGGACTGGATGGAATATTTTAAAAAATGTCTTCATACCTCTCTGGCTCACTAGGAAATGAGGTCCTATGTCCAAAAGTCCGGACTGACCCTTTGAGTCCCGAAATCCGAATTCATTTATTTTTCTAAAGGAAAAGTTTACAGAGTGATGAAAAGCTGGACTACTGTCATAGAAAAAAAAAAAAGGTTCTCAAAACGGCGCCTATTATGGAAATTCAATACCACTAATTATTTTAAGCTTTACTGTGACACGTTTTACAGATTCTCAGTACTCAACAAGTCAGATATATATCTAGTGTAGAAAACCACAGACCACATAGCTGGGAGCAGACTGAGTGAGGACTTAATAGTTTTTGTTGTTTATCTCATAGTTTATCTGGATGTCTGGACGAGAGCCAGGAGACCATCAGCACCGCTCTTCTGTCAAGTGTTTGTGTTCAGGGTTACGCTTCACATTTTCACACTTTGATAACCATCTCTGTGTGTGAGATCTCCTCTTCAAACATGAAAACAGACCTGCTCCCCTCTGAACCGCTACAAATGTTGACATAGTGCTGTCACGATACTGAAACTTCAAACTTCAATTTCGAGACAGATTTTGATCATTTTACAAGCTCCTTTTAAGTCAGTTCTGTAATTTCAACATACACTAATATATTTTACCATATCTACTTACAAATACAAAATGAAACTGAACAAATTTGACCCACTTATGTTATTTTTTTGTTCTTTGTATGAGTATCTAGTTTCGATACTAATTTTTGTGTACATAAAGTTAAAGATGCACCATTTAACTTTTTGGTTGGGAGTCCGTCACCTGCTTGTTTCTATGGAGATGTCATTGCTCTGCCTGGAATGTTCCACAATATGGCATTAAACAGATCTACCTGACTTGTATTACATTGCAAGTGTTTTTACAGCTCAAACTTGGTCTGATTTGGTCTCCAGGAAGACAGAAAGGTTTAATGCCATACTGTGAAACATTCCAAAGCAATAACATCTTCATGGACAAAAGCATTTGATGGATCCCTTCCAGAAAAGTTACACAATGCACCTTTAAAGCCACACTTTTTAACTTTTTAGCCAAAATAATAGACTAAAATAAAAGCATGTTATTTGAACAAGCTCATGTACACAGACTGGCCCAGTCTTGTCACCTGCCCACTGACTCAACCCACGGTTTCATGAGTACTATTGAAAGCTGTGCACGTGTTTTTATTTTGGCTCGCTTACCAAGTGAAGCGTCTCTTCTTATGTTTTTAAGGCCCTGACGCACTTGAGCAACAGCAGGACTGAATGGGAAAATTATTCAGAGGTTATAAATTAACAAGTGGTTAATTATTTTATTTAAGTGTATTGAACACTGCTGTCATTTCATTTATTTTAAACCTTTTAATTTACTAAATTCCTGTTTGTGTGTGCATTATATATTATTTTGGTTCATATTCTCAAATGTTGCATTGAGTTACATCGAGATAAAGAAGCAAAGTTTATTCAGATTAATTTATTCTTAGTGGGTTCTAAAGTAAATTAAAGTAACTTTAATATTCCTGCTAAGTGGAGGCACAAACAAAACTTATTAGATCCTCAAGGATTAGGTTTATAACTGTCTGTCTTGTTTACTAAAGTTTATTATTTAAAGTAAAAGTATTCATAGTACTGTCACCACATTAATAAAGTGTTGAGATGGGATGGATGCTACAAATATTACTGAGGTTATCTACATGAAACAAAAACTGACACAGTTCAAGGTCTCTTCTCTGTCTGCAGAAATAAACTTTAAAAACTTAAAAACAAACTTTAAAAACAATATATTTATCAATTGTTTCTATTGCAATTTTTTTGTCCTACATATAATTGTCAACTTTTTTTTTTTTTACTTTTATGCACAAACTGCCACTTGACTTATATAAAGTGTAATAAATATTTACCTCAGGTCCCAACAAACAATGTAATAACAGAAAAACTGTAACATGCAGTTGATTAGCGTTAGCTGCTAATTAAAGCTAAAGTCAAATTTAGACGAGGTCCTGTTTTGTGTCTCCTCTCGTTATTTAATTAGCTCATGGCTTCATCAGGCTAATCACTTTTGGACACTGCTGCGCCCCGTAGAGGGACAGAGACGGGGGTTTGAGGGGGGAGGGGGAGGAGGTGGGGAGAGGGAGAAGAGAGGGAGGGTGTGTCCAAATGTCCACCCTATAGTCCCCTAACCCCTCATTCACTACATAGTCTTGCACTCATTAGCGCCCTCTACAGTGCACTCATTCACAGAGCGTTTTGGACACACAGCTCACGACTTTGGGGTCATGTGACTCTGGAGTCTGGGTAAAAAAAAAGTTGTGTAGTAAATAAAGTTCTGTAATAATATAATAATCATACGAGTTTTTGTCTCGCTGGATTTCACGTAAACAGCCTGGATTATTTGCCTTTTGTCTGAAACGTGGAAATTGTTGCTCTTTTAACAGTTGGAGCTAAGTTAAGCACTAACACCATAACACTTTATTTAAGATGGTTTTATTCATGATCCGAATCTACAGAGCCATAAACCAGCGCTTTTATCTGCTTCATTCACTCGTGTTGTGTCCAGTTAAACACCTGTCGCTGAACGCCATTGTTTTCCCGACTCTCCCAGTCATTGTCGTCTATATTGATCGGTTTACATAGTGACCACTGATGCACACTACTTTTCAAGGAGCATTGTGGGAAATTTTGAGTGCATTACTATCACCTACACTATAATAAAATCTGGAAGATGAATCCAAGATGGCGTCATATTGTTCTCAGTGTCCTTTGCTCACTAGCTGCCTGATTCAGACGGTTTCACTTGGTGGAAGCCGTCTGACCTCGCAGCACTAGGATTTGTTCACTCGACAGTAGACGGGTACTTTTTTTATTTAACCAATCACTGCTATTTGGTCCTGATGTATGTAATGCACCAAATCCCCTAGGAAGAAGGACAATAATGTCTTTCCCCTTGATAAAATTCAACCAAACATTCTCTTTGTTCTGCTTTTAAATCCTCGATCTTGGGAATCGTTGCCAACACAGAATGTTTGTCTTCATCTACATCCATCTCAGTGCTTTGTTTACTGTTGTGCTGTACCATAAAAGGGACCCAGACAGGCACTTGAGTTTGACAACTTCCAGGGTTCTTGCAAACCGTCTACTCTATTCTGATTCTTGACCGAGACGCTGGAGAGAAATGAAAACTAGGTGGCACCAGCCTGACTCGCTCACTGGTGCATGGGCCCAAAAAAAATTTTCGTTTTCGCATTGACTTCCTCAATAGGGGCAATCTCCTCCCACCTGTGTGATGTCTGTAATGTGTACGGCATAGAGCGTTTGGATTAATCAGAGCGAGAGCTGCTAGAGTGGGGCTAGTGCAGGCTTAGAGAGGGGCTAGGCTCAGTCTTACAAAACTTTTAGGCACTTTGGGGACTGCAAAATTTAAAAAAGTTAATGTTGTGAAAAATAAAAACAAATCCCTACAAAATCTGACCTTTGTGAAAGTTGTTGATGCCCTTTCAGCCGAACACGGGCAGTTAGAATTCCCCAAAAATCCATTGCGCTCTACAGGAGAATTCTTTCTTGGCCCAAGCTCGTGGGAGCTGCAGTACCTGGAGCGGCCACTAGTCGGGACAGAGTTTTTATTATAGATCCATGTTCGGACGCCCCTAAAACTGGCATGACCCCCAAGATAGTGCCCTAATAGTGTGGACATTCGGCCACAGCCCACGGAGAATTCGGGAGAGAGGGAGGAGGGAGGAGAGAAGGCGAGAGAAGAGGAGGAGGAGAAAAGAGGGAGCATAGGAGGGGGGAGGAGTGGTGGCTACAACCTGCCTCCTCCCTCCCACTGAGTCCCTGGTTCCTGCACTGTAAAAATGAAAAATGACTAACTTTTTGAATATTTTTTTATAGTTAATTTCGCTTTCTTGTCACCATGGGGATTGCCTAGAATGTTCCACAGCATGCAATTTAATCTGTCTAGTGTATATTATTATTATGTAATTTAAAAAATTACCTTGAAAAACATGGTAACAGGTGAATTCTTTCTGCCTCTCCATAGATCTGACTTCTCACTTGGACTGTTTGTCTCCATGGCGATAGATTCAATGCCACACTGTGAACCTTTCCAGGCAAAGCAATAACAGGACAAAATGAGAGACCACCAGAAAAGTGACGTAATATGACTTTATTCTTTATATAGAGACACACTTTTTTTTTTTTTTACAGAAACTTAAAAACACGCATTCTTTCTGCGAGTGGGATCGCCTCTCCATAGATCTGACCTCTGACCCACTTCGCCTGTCATCAGCTTGTCTCCATGGCGATAGATTCAATGCCACACTGTGTAACATTCCAGGCAAAGCAATAACAGGACAAGACGAGTGAAAAGTGACATAATATGACTTCATTCTTTATATACAGACACTTTTTTTTTTTTTACAGAAAATGAAAAACATCTGACCTCTGACTCACCTGGTCTGTCATCTGCTCGTCTCCATGGCGACAGATAAGCTTAATGCCACACTGTGAAACTTTCCAGACAAAGCAATAACAGGACAAGATGAGAAACTATGAGAAAAGTTACGTAATATGACTTAATTCCTTATTCTTTATACACTTTTTTACAGAAACTAAAAAAACATCTGACCTCTGACTCACTTGACCTGTCATCTGCTCGTCTCCAGGGCGACAGATAAGCTCAATGCCACACTGTGAAACATTCCAAGCAAAGCAATAACAGGACAAGATCAGAGACTATGAGAAAAATTACGTAATATGACTTTATTCTTTATATAGAGACACTTTTTTTTTTTAACAGAAACTAAAAAACACCTGACCTCTGACTCACCTGGTCTGTCATCTGCTTGTTTCCTTGGCAACAGACAAGCTCAATGTCACACTGTGTAACATTCCAGACAAAGCAATAACAGGATGTGATGAGAAAAGTTACGTAATATGACTTTATTGTTATATAGAGACCCTTTTTTTTTTGCAGTGTACGGGAGCCTGTGTGGTGGGACGATCCATTTCCAGCGTTCGGGGGATTAGCGGGTTTTGCTCCTCCACACTGCGATCATTAGAGGGGTCTGAAAATTAGCCTGATCCCTGGAGTCCAGCTGTGCACGGGGAGCCGGAGAGCACGGGGAGCAGACACGCCCCTCCCCCCTCCCTCCCTCTTTCCCTCTTTCCCTCGCTCTCTCGCTCTTCTCCCCCTCTCAAAAGCCGTCCGCTCTCACCAGTGTTTTACAGAGAAAACAATGTGTTCACAAAGAGGCACTGGTCAGCTGCCGAGGGGGTCGTTTTTGTCCCGGAAAGTTGTGTTTACTTCCAAAACCTCTTCTGCTTTTTTACTTTTTGATTGCTATATTTATGTGTTTTTGACAGACAAAGCTGACAATGTGATTTCCAGCCTGACCTTGTTTCCTCGGGCAAGACACATCACTTCACACATTGGTTATTCTTCAAATTTACTTTAAAGCTTCTATATTACGCAAAATTGACTCTTAAAATGTTGTTCTCTCTCTCTTTTTTCTTCCTCACTTAGTCTCTCACCTCCTCTCTCTCCTTTTCCCTATCTCTCTCCTTCCATCTCCTCCTCTTCTCTCCTCCTTCTCTTCACTTTATCACTACTACTCACTTTCTTTCTCTCTCTCCATTCCCCACACCTCCGTCTCTCTCACTCTTTCCCTCTCTGCACCTCCATCTCTCTCTTTCTCTCTACTCCTCTTCCCTCTCTCTTTCTTACTCTTTCTCATCTTCTCCCCTCTCTCTTTCTTTCTTTCTTTCTCATCTACTTGTTTCCAATCTCTTTCCACCGCTCTCTCTCTTTCTCTCTCTCCCTCTTGTTTGCAGTCTCTCTCTCTCCATTTCCCCCACCTCCATCTCTTCACCTCCATCGCTCCCTTTCTCTCTTTTCGTCTTCTTGTTTCCAATCTCTTTCCCACACTCTCTCTCTTTCTCTCTCTCCCTCTTGTTCTCAATCTTTCTCTCTCTCTATTCCCCACACCATCCTCTCTCCTCTTCCATCTCTCCCTTTCTCTCTACTCCTCTTCTCCCTCTCTCTCGTTCTTTTTCTTTCTCGTCTTCTTGTTTCCAGTCTCTTTCCCACGCTCTCCCTCTCTCTCTTTCTCTCTCTCCCTCTTGTTCGCCATCTCTCTCTCTCATTCCCCATTCTCTCTACACCTCCATCTCTCCCTTTCTCTCTATTCCCCTTCTCTCTTTATCAGTACCCCCTTTCCCCCTCTCTCTATTTCTTTCTCTTTCTCAAATCGTTGTTTCCAATCTCTTTTCCCCCGCTCTCCCTCTCTCTCTTTCTCTCCATTCCCGACACCCCCTCTCTACACCTTCATCTTTCCCTTTCTCTCTATTCCCCTCCTCTCCCTATCAGTCCCTCCTCTCCTCCTCTCTCTCCCTCTTTCTTTCTCTTTCTCGACTTATTGTTTCCAATCTCTTGCCCCCACTCTCTCACTCTTTCTCTCTCTCCCTCTTGTTCGCAATCTCTTTCTCCTTTCCCCACAGCCCCTCTCTCTCTCACTCTTTCCCTCTCTGCACATCCCTTTCTCTCTACTCATCTCCCCTTCTCTCTTTCTTACTCTTTCTCATCTTCTCCCCCTCTTTCTTTCTTTCTTTCTTTCTCATCTACTTGTTTCCAATCTCTTTCCACCGCTCTCTCTCTCTTTCTCTCTCTCCCTCTTGTTTGCAGTCTCTCTCTCTCAATTTCCCCCACCTCCATCTCTTCACCTCCATCGCTCCCTTTCTCTCTATTCCCCTCCTCTCTCTATCAGTCCCCCCCTCTTTCTTTCTTTCTTTCTTTCTTTCTCTTTAGCATCTACTTGATTCCAGTCTCTTGACCTTGCTCTCCCTCTCTCTCTTTCTCTCTCTCCCTCTTGTTCGCCATCTCTCCATTCCCCACAAACCCCCTCTCTCTCACTTTTTCCCTCTCTACACCTCCATCTCTCCCTTTCTCTCTATCCCCCTCCTCTCTCTATCACCCCCTTCTCTCTCCCCTCTCTCTTTCTTTTTCTTTCTCGACTTGTTATTTCCAATATTTTACTTTACCCCCGCTCTCCCTTTCTCTCTTTCTCTCTATCCCCATCCTCTCTCTGTCAGTCCCCTCTTCCCCCCCTCTCTCTTTCTTTTTCTTTCTTGTCTTCTTGTTTTCAATCTCTTTTCCCCTCTTTCTCTTTCTCTCTCTCCCTCTGCCCTCCCCCTAGTTCGTTTTCACTCTCTAACCCTAACCCTTTTTTCTTTATCTCTGCTCCCCCTCTCTTCCCTGTCTCCCATCTCACTCTCAGCCTCTTTTTTCCTTTTCTCTCTCTGCTCTTCTCTCCTCCCCCTCCCTCCCTCTCTCTCTCCTCTCTCCCTCTCTCCCTCTCTCTTTCTCTCTGTCTCTCCGCTCCCGTCTTTCTAGCCGCCGCAGATGCGCTCTGAATGGCCCTGGCTGGATCAGAGGCAGCTGGTTCATTCGTTTCTCTGAGATGACAGATGGCAAAATACAAACACAAAAAAGACTGTCACATGATTAAGTAACAAGGCCTGCAGCTATAAGGACACTTCACACTTCAACTTTTACTCAAGACATCCACGCATACCGAAGTTTTAAAGCGACATAATCCCCAAAATCAACGTTTCAGACCTTTTATTTACGTAATATTTGTTTCTTTTTACCATTTCAAGTTGCATTTCGACTCATTTGTAGGACATAGGACCTCATTTCCTAGTGAGCCAGAGTGTTGGAGACGTGTGGAGACACTTTTTTAAATATTCCATCCAGTCCTTGTATTTGCAGAGGTCACTGGTGCTAGACTAGTGCATGTCAATGGTCATAGTTATTCCTGCCACTAAAAACAGTCTTACCCACTCCACAAAACACCTGAAACAAATCTATTATTACACCCATGGATCTATTAAAATAACTGAATACAATAAGTGAAGAGAGTTTGAGTCGGAAATTGCCAGAAAATAGCCTACAGTGTACATAATAAGTGCATATGACACATTTTTATGATTGCTTAAAATTTTGACTTAATTTAATTTTAATCACTGTAAATATAAATTATAGTTTTACACCAGTTAAGAAGAAATTTGCGAAGACAAGTTGAAACATACTTTGAAAACTGCATGAAGTAGAGAATATTGAAAAATACTGACATCACACTTGGGAGACTCCTATAGAAAAGTTTGACACAATTTACACATAAGAAAATCTTTTTTTTCCGAAACTTAAAACATTATTTCAACAAAATAAAGGTGTTTTCTGTTGTCTTTGGATTAGTTTTTGTCAGATAATAATTTCTGTGTACATTAGAAGAGTGTTTTAAACCTAAAAATAGCCAAATTGGAAAAACGAGACACAAATCTTAAATATGTTTTCATCAAATGAGTAGTCTAACCTGTTATAGGTGCTTTAAGCAGAGGTCAGCCAAAACACAAAAGGGGAACTGTTTGTAACACTCATTATTCTCAACAATATTTTGCATTTTAAAGGGTCAATCTGGAATTTTGGACATAGGACCTAATTTCCTAGTGAGCCAGAGTGTTGGAGATGTGTGGAGACACTTTTTAAAATATTCCATCCAGTCCTTGTATTTGCAGAGGTCGCTGGGGCTAGGCTAGTGCATGTCAATGGCCATAGTTATCCTGCCACTAAAAACAGTCTTACCCACTCCACAAAACACCTGAAACAAATCTGTTATTATGCCAGACTGTCCATGTAAATGTCTGTGTTGACAGAATAATGTTTGACATAAAACTAACCTTGCATCGCATGAATCGTCACATGTTGAGGGACTATTTTCTCATATATCAGTCCGCCGCTGCCAAATTCAGCTTGGTGGGGTCAGGGAAGAAACTAAAAATCCAAGCTGGATAATGGAATAAATTGAATAATGTTTAATCAACAGGGATGTAAAAGGTAAATTAACAAAACAGACTAAAGTATATACAAAAAAATGACCTAAACTAAGAAACAAAACACAGGATTAACATACAACGGGTTTGGCGCCACAAAACGGGTCACACAGGCTTACACAAAAACGAGTGTTAAACTGAGGGACACACACAAAACTAAAACACAAGTGCCTCAAAGTAAAGCACATGAACCCACAAACAGAATCGAGTGACCAAATTAACAAAGGCACAAAACAGAAATAAACTACAGAACTAGACACACACAAACACAAAATGGACGAAGGCCTACAGGTGCCAGGTGTAAAAGTGCTCCACCAATCACGAGCAGGATCCAGGACAACCAGCAAAATCATTTAAAGCACACAAAACAAATTAAAACTGAAGGCATGGGGTCGTAACAGAAGTACAACTCGCTGCTGCTGCTCAGACATAAATCCACCAAATACAAGGTTGATTTTACTTCTAAAATTTTTCTATCAACACAGACATTCATATCAACAGTCTGGTGTAATAATAGATTTTCTTCAGGTGTTTTGTGGAGTGGGTAAGACTGTTTTTAGCGGCAGGATAACTATGATCATTGACATGCACTAGTCTAGCACCAGTGACCTCTGCAAATACAAGGACTGGATGGAATATTTTAAAAAAGTGTCTCCACACGTCTCCAACACTCTGACTCGCGAGGAAATGAGGCCCTATGTCCAAAATTCCAGACTGTCGCTTTAATCACTTATTCTCAAGACACTATTTGGCCAGTCAACCCCCATTTTCAACACCACTGCGCTGTACTTCTCCAATTT